CCAGGAGCCCCTAGTAGCTTTTGCTCCTATTAGCGATGCCAAGAACCCCGGGCCCCTAGTAGCTTCTTGCTCCTAGTACGTAGTACGGCCAGGAGCCCCTAGTAGCTTTTTGCTCCTAGTAGCGATGCCAGGAGCCCCGGGCCCCTAGTAGCTTCTTGCTGCTAGTACGTAGTACGGCCAGGAGCCCCTAGTAGCTTTTTGCTCCTAGTAGTACGGCCAGGAGCCCCTAGTAGCTTTTTGCTCCTAGTAGCGATGCCAGGAGCCCCGGGCCCCTAGTAGCTTCTTGCTCCTAGTACATCGTACGGCCAGGAGCCCCTAGTAGCTTTTTGCTCCTAGTAGCGATGCCAGGAGCTCCTAGTAGCGTCCTTGTTCCCAGTAGTAAGGCCAGGAGCCCCCTGTAGCGTCCTTGCTCCTAGTAGCGATGCCCTTTGCTCCTAGTAGCGTCCTTGCTAAGGTGGAAGGCTGAACTCTGAAACCAAAACCCACATGTCACATGTCTTGTGCGTTGTGCGCAATCCCGACGCGGGGAAGCCTGTCACCCTCGGCAAGGTGAATGGGCGTGAGGTCGTCTTTGCGGATGGGACGATAGAAGAATTTGAAAATATCTTGCTTGCAACAGGATACCGCCACTGGTCTGAATATTCAGAGTAACCGGAAGAGAGGTGAACATGTTCTCCTGCACCTAGGTCGCAAGTCTCACAGCTGCCCCAGATTTGTGTAGAGAGTTAAAATGTGCTGAGGTAACCTTGTACAGCCTTCAAAGCCTTTTAAAGCCTCTTGATTCTACTGGAACCATGGCTTGCACAGCTGAACCATGTTGAACCCTCCAGAGGTATTCAGAGGAATCTGTGGTATCCCCTAAGACTTGCAAATTTGCAAGGCTTGGGCTTGCCGTTTCTTCCTGCAGAACTTCAAGAGAAGCTTCAGCTGGACACCAGTGATCAGCTACAGCCACTGATTCTGGCACATGGCGTGTGGCATCCGCAGATCCCGCAAATGGCTTTCGAGCCGTGGCAGAAACAGCGAAAACGCGTGAAAGCGTGCGAAAGCGTCCTAAGAACTACAGTCAGAACTTAAACCTGTTGGCAGCCACGGAGATGGCCCACGTTTTTCCTAACGTTTTAGCCCAGACATGAGAAATGTGTAAAGTCTTAATCTGCAGGTTGGCCTCTATCGCGGCCCATACTTTGCGGCCCTTGAGCTGCAAGCACGCTGGGCATGTGGCACATTCTCTGGACGTTTGCCTGCACTCACGGAGGACAGATACTACTGCAGTAGCTGGGAATGCAGTGAGAATCTTCAGGTCTACGGAAGTAAGCTTGGTCCAAACATGCACGAATGAAGCGCTTACAGAGTCGCAGTACGTTGGCTAATTACTTCTAAGCCTCATATATATATATATATTATTTCATATATGTATATATGTGCTGTGGTTCCTTCATTTGGTCCTTAGATTTCACTGCAGCCGGATCATTGTTGTATTAATTGCAGCATGGCATTTTGCACGGGCCCTAACACTCCAAGTGTCGCCCGAGAGCATAGGATGCTGGCAAGCTAAGTGACTGCAGGAAGAAGCTGAACAAGCGCTGCTCGAACAGTTGAAGATCAGCAACTGGGCTTAGGTGAAAGAGATGTGTGCAGGATGGAAATCAGGTGAAGTAATTGCAAAATATTGCAAATACTCATTTTGGTGCACCCACTTTGAGAGACTCCAAGTTGAAGCTCCAGCAGGGTCTTGATAACATTCATTTTCCAACTGACTTGAAGTAAATCTGACTCAATGCCAGACACTGCCCAATCCTAATTCGGATTACCACCCATACTACGCCAACTTGACAGGAAGCCTTCAACCTCGTCCCCAGTTTCCACATGACTACGTAGCGATGGCAGAGTCACTGGCCCGCTTTGTTGGGGTGCACCCGCTCCTTGCCAGCTGAAAGTATGCAGTCGCAAGGATAAACAATGGTCACATCCCGTTTGCTAGATGTTTGGCATGGCGGTACGCACCGGAATTAGCCGAAGCTGCCTAGGACTGGAATACTGGAGGAGTGCGTGGTGGATTTGGTGATGCAAGTTGCGCTTCTCCATACACAATTGTCCTTTGTTGAACATATTTTTGCGCTGGTTTCACAATCAACGTACTGCACATGTTCAAACCAGTTAGATACTGTTAGTATGTCTCGATTAGGTGGATTTCATATGATTTTATGTTCCGATTTTCTCTCGTGCTTTCTAGCTCGTGGCACATCCGCAGATGTTTGGAGGATCCTTCGCATCCGATGCATCGCAGCTTGGTGGAGGGCCCGCTTTTGCCCTTCCACTACCGGCTTGAAGGCTTCAAGGCGAAGGGGCTGCGACTGTGTCAGTTCGAGGGCGGCAAAAATGAGAGTGTCCCAAGTAGCTTCTTGTTGCTAGTAGCGTCCTTGCTCCTAGTAGTACGGCCAGGAGCCCCTAGTAGCTTTTTGCTCCTAGTAGCGATGCCAGGAGCCCCTAGTAGCTTCTTGCTCCTAGTAGTAAGGCCAGGAGCCCCTAGTAGCTTTTTGCTCCTAGTAGCGATGCCAGGAGCTCCTAGTAGCTTCTTGCTCCTAGTAGTACGGCCAGGATCCCCTAGTAGCTTTTTGCTCCAAGTAGCGATGCCAGGAGCCCCTAGTAGCTTCTTGCTCCTAGTAGTAAGGCCAGGAGCCCCCAGTAGCTTTTTGCTCCTAGTAGCGATGCCAGGAGCCCCTAGTAGCTTCTTGCTCCTAGTAGTACGGCCAGGTAGCTTTTTGCTCCTAGTAGCGATGCCAGGAGCCCCTAGTAGCTTCTTGCTCCTAGTAGCGATGCCAGGAGCCCCTAGTAGCTTCTTGTTTAAGAGGTTCGTTTGTTTTGCTCTCGCAAGTCCCAAAAGCTCCAGAGCATCAAGAGGCTAATTTGTGAGCAGCATGTAAGACTTCGCCAGCACCCTTGCCCTTCAGGCAACGCCGGAGATCTCCGCAGCCGCCATAAGTGAGTGCTTGAAAGCTTATCCCATCGATGCATCAAAATGAGCGCTTCAGAATGCTGCAGAGTTGATTTCTTTGCATGGAAAAAGCATGAAAACGCCCTTTCTTGACCTTGACGATTTCCGCAACAGGATGTGCTGGTTGAAGTACTACTCATGTCACGATGCCATGCGCTTCTTTCAACGTCGGGCTCCTGGAGGGTGCCTTGTCGCACTTGCTTCGGTAAGCTGGTACTTTTTGGATCACCACACTTACAGGCTTTGGCTCACACCAGCTTTATCTACAGTAAGTAAACAGACAGGAAGCCGATAACCCAGATGCAAACACTACCTCAACATACCTCAACTATGGAGATGACTTTGAAAGCCGATTGCCCCAAATGTGTTACAGAGCTTACTTTTAGCCAACCATGTGTGTTTCACCTTGGCGGTACCTCGTTCGAAGCAACTCTGGACCCAACCATGCCAGCTACGCTTGAGGTACAGCAATGTTAGTGTGGCAGCGATCTATTTCTCTCAGTCAATGGCTCAGTGGACCAGAAGGGTTTTGTTTTGTGGAATCCAATGTTGGAACCGTAGCATGTTGCGCACAAAGTCGAAGTAAGCTCCTGAGTCAAAAGAGCACAGCACAAAGGGCAATTTTTGTGCTGATTTGCTTTGAGCTTCCTATTGAGCTTCCTATTGCATCCTGAAGGCCGGGATTTCGGTTCTTTCTATTTGGTGACTGTCCACCTGAAGGACTGCAACAAACACATTTTTGGCGAAGTGCGGCATTTCAGGGTTCGCCACAAACAAGAAACCCATGCTATCTTTTTGTCCACAGCTCGGCGCAAAGCAGCGGTGTGGAGGGAGACCATTCCTGTACCTTGCCACTATGCCGACTAGTTTTCACAGGTTATGCCTCAGCTAGCTAGAATTGGTGAAATGGGGCCAAGATGCTCTGACATTGGACAGCCGTTCAGTGGGATGTCACAAGCACTTGCAAGGATGCTCAATGTGTATCAGTCGGTCGGACGTTTCTCATGGGTCGTAGAGGTTTACTTTATGAAGAGCTCTTATGAGCTCTTGACATGGAGGCCGAAGCTGCGAGTGTGGACAAATTGCCCAGTTCTGCTGCGCGGAACCCTGGACTTTTCTAGGTTGTGAGGTTCTGGCAGCTGACCTTCCTGATCATTTCAGCGTGTTTCAATGTTGCACGTTCAAGACTGTGCACACGTTGGCAAAGCGCACATATAATCACACATATAAAGATGCTATGATATGCTTATAGACAGATATTACTATAAATACAATATATCTTGCAAGGTTCAAGATGCAAAGCCGTCTTCTACTGCAGCACGGACTGACTGTGTGGCGTATGCTTCCAGTGCTTCCAGCAACTGCCTTTGATCGGTCGGTGTTTTCCTGTGTGCTGTTTCTATTTCCCAAACCAAAGCTTGCTCAGAGTAGCTGGACTGTCGGCTGGTACCGAAGGAGTGCCAGCGAGGCGCATGGATGAAGCACAAGCACCTGAGACGCAATTGAGCCAAGCTTTCAACTTCTACCCAATTGGGACCAATAGCGGTACTGAGCAGATAAACGGAGGCCCCATGAGATTGCTCCAGGCCTGTCTGCCAGCAGCCGATGGAAAGAAGCAGCACGCGGCGAGCGTTGTATGCCATTAGTTCATGTTGCTGTAATAAATCATCTCATGCATTGACTCATACATTGCAAAGAGTTGTCAGCTATGACACTGTTGCCACAAAGGGTTTGGTGCTCGTAGCGGCCAAGGCTCAAAGAAAAAGTGTGTATATATATATACAGTTGATACATAGTTAAATTCTGTACAGTGTACAGGCTAAATCTTCTGCAAGTGACTACGTAGGAAGAGCACCTGGGACCTAGAGCACTTGGGAGCAACTTGTTGTTGAATTTGGAATGAGAACAGTCATCAACTGCATGCCGACAGTCTTGTATTCTTTAACGTCCCTGTACATTGAAATTTGGCAACCTGGTGTACCTATCACAAAGCATAGGTGTTGAATGCGCCACAAAACCAACTTACAGCGCCATCCTGTCATGATTCTGGCATGGTCGCTGGATGCGGGGTCCCCGGAGGCAGCCGATGGACTTTTAACGAAAATCAACAGGTCTGGCCTTTGCTTTGTGTTTTTTAGGCTGGCAGAAGTGTCAGGTTTTGCTGTTATGTGTTCCTTGGTAAGAGCAACTCCATTTCAACCCCCGAACAAGATAACACGCAGTACATGCATCTATATTCACAGAAACACATCCGTATGGCATTTTACTGCAGCGACTTCAAAGTCAGAAAACCTGCGCTCGACACACACTTGGGATTTGTTGTCCCAATATCTCAGAGGCATAGCTTTGGGTAGTTGTTCGCCCGTAAAGTGGATTGGTGAGAAGAGGCACGGCCTCAGGTGAGACCAAGCAAACGCAGGAAGATCGAGGCTCAGAAGGCTGGTGTTTGGGTTGCATTGTATACACGATGATACACCTATATACTATATATGTATATGATTTCAAGTGGTAAGTATGCCGGACAGGTAGGCGTAAGATGGCGTAAGATAGCTAGCCCGCAAGTGGCAGGAAGCTACTGGTAGCAAGGGCGCTGCCGTTGTTCTTTACACGTTGAATTCAAGAACGGGCCATTGGCTTTGCTTTGTGCAAGGCCATTGGCTTGAAGAACGGGCCAGATCTAAACCCTGCTGAGCCAGAGATTAGGCACGCTGACCTCAAAATGAAAAACATGTACCATGTATGTTGACCTGGTTAGTTTGAATGTCCTATCTTGAATTTGAGTTCCTACAGACTTGTGTACCCACACCACACTTTATGTTTCGCAGGCCCTGCTTGGCCTCAGCACGGCTTTCTGAAGAGCTGCGCCACCTGGCGCGGTTGGGAGATTTGCGCCTCGAGCGTCATGAAGAGCTGCAGGCTGAGCGGGAGATCCTGAGGGATCGGAAAGTGGCATGTGTGAAAACAGGGGCTGCCCCCTTAGTAGTAACAGGTGCCTTACTAGTAGTAACAGGTGCCTTACTAGTAGTAACAAGAAGCTATTAGAATTAAATCAAATTTAAATTAAATTAATAGCTTCTTGGTACTAGTAGTAAGGCACCTGTTCCTAGTAGCGTGGCACTTGTTTCTAGTAGCTTCTTGTTACTTACCCAATCTTACTGACTTGTTTATTATTGGTGGTACATTTGTTAGGGCGTGCGCAGTAAAAAAGAACAGTGGTAAATTTGTTGCCTGAAGCGCCCCAGTGTGTAGCAGTAGATTGAGGATGAAAACCTCGGTTCTAGAGTATTTTCCGTCAAACTCAACGAGTGGCAGGTGTTTGATGTTCTTGTTTACCACGAAAGTTCGACGATGTAGGCTCGAGCCACAGGTAGGAGAGGTTTCGAGAGGTTTCAACACTTTTCAACAATAGTTTGCAAGTTTGTAAAGTAGCTGATGCCATGGGGCACGATTAATATTGATATGACTTGCCTTGATCTCAGACCTCCGAGGTGCTGGATCCCTGTCAATCTTGGCTTTTTTCTTTTTTGTTCTTGTTACTAGTAGCGATGGCCTCCAACCTACTTGCGATGGCCTCCACCTAATAGCATCCTAATACACATGTTGTTATATACCATATGTGCCGCTTGACAGGCCCGTGTGGTGATTTGTCAGCTTTGCCCACGTGGGGAGGCTGTCGAGATCGCACCTTGGCAGCGAGTGGATTTGCAGCCGTGCTCGCAAGCGCTTTGGATTTTACATCAGTCAAATCAGGATGTAGTCAAGTCTGGCCCAGCTGCCAATCTGTGTTTGTGACGTGCCTAGGGACTTCATTGTCCAGAGAGATATCCGCTGGTGCCGCCTTTGTTGCGACATTCCAACTGGACCATGGGCACTGTCAGTTGGAGAACGCTTAAAACTCAAGAGAAGCAAAAGTCCTCTTAAACTTAAACCTGCACACCCTATTGGCAGAGTGTTTTGCTGTCGCAGCACAAAATGCATTGAGTCAGCCAGCCTTATTCTTCAGCATGGCTGCATGTATCCAGGAGAAGTAGCGGGCTTGTGGCCGGCTGGCACTACCGGGGTGATGAACTGCGGCTGCCGCGACTCCAGGCACTCCGAAAGGATAGTTTTTTGTTCTCCCTTTTGCCTCAAGCAGCGAGGAAGATCGCTGGAGCTTCACCATGGGTCTCTCGGCAAAGCATGCTCAAATCAAGGTGCCTTGAGAGTGCTTCTCAAAAAGACGCAACCAGTCAGACGGATTGTGTGAAGAATGGAACAAACAGTTTCTTCTTGACTTAGGGGGTTTTAAAAACATAAAGAGAAAAACAAGGTAAGGCATTTAAGTTATCCTTTAAAGGAGGGCTTGCCTTCTAGTTTTCCATGTCTTTTTTGTTGCTTTTTAAACAACCCCTTCCAGACCTTTGACCAAGGTCTCGCTGATGTTCTTGCCGATCTCTTGGACTCTGCCGGGCAGTTGTGATTCGGCCTGCCTGTCGAATGACCAACAGCACGCTCAGCAAGGTCGACAAGTGCGCTTCATCTCATTTCTTTCTGACTTCAGGTTGTGTAATTTCTGACTTCAGGAAAGGACAAGAACGATGCTGGCTGGTGCTGTTGGTGCTTCAACTCAACTGATTTAAATACAGTAGGCACAAGCTTTCAAAAAGCTTTGTCCGCGCCAGCTTGCAGCAAAAGCCTGCTGGGTTCTGGTTGGCAGTGAGGCAAAAGTATGAACCGCTTGATACTATAGATTGACACCGGAGCTTTGTCGACGGAGGACCTGTCCAAACGTCGCATCGGACATGGCATACAATACCACAGGATCCGCTCGCACGCTCTTATGTGTGGGTTTGTATTTCCTTCGGTGAGTGCATTACAAAGATTGAATGGATAATATATCATATGGTTTAGGACTGTTTAGGATATTTAGCGAATGGAAGGATTAAGGACTTCAGGCTCTGGGGTGCAATCTCTGTTGCTGTGGCCACCATTCTATCCGACGTTCTTTTGGTGACAAAACCCTCATAGGTTGCGGACCACAAGGTAAGCTGCTTGTTGGTGTTGTTTGACCTGGTGCAGCAGTGCAGCATATTTTCCGTCAACAATAGCTGTGAGGTGTTTTGTGGCAATACCAATGGCTTGTTGAAGCTTCCTGCAAAAGAAGGGAGAAGCAAGAAGTTCCAACAACTTCCAAGTCGTTTCTTCAGGGTTTTGAGTGAGCAGCCAAGATCCTCCTAAGCTCTGAAATAGGAATGTAGGCGACTCAACCTCTTACTGTATGCGGTTGGTATATTAATTGTGCAAGCAGGAGGAGCTTCACCGGTAGCTCAACTCGGCACACTATTGAATTGATGCTCCGACCCTCACGAGCCTTCCCTTCTCATCAACACATGGCGACATGGACTAACATGGCCCTTTGTCCTTTGGCTCAAGTCATTAGTCGAAGGGGGTCTCCCCAGTTCAATTGCTTGCGCTCCGCACCTAAGTGTCGATTGCAGATGATTGAAGCTGTGGTGTTAACCACCAATACATTTGTCATCATTTGTCAATGACTGTTTTGAACAGAGGTAGATGGATTTTCAATTGTTTTGAGTAGGATGGCTTCCTGTGGCTCTTTTGCTAAGATACGAGAAACTCAGACAGCTTTTTCCTTGTTCCCTTCAGGTCCTGTGCATGTGTTCCGAGGATGGCCGACGACGGAGTGGCTGATCAAGCCTACGATGAGGCAGCATTAGTGTGGCAGCTGATGGAACACAACAAAAGAAGCTAAGTAAAGCAAAGAAAGTACTTCTTTAGCATGCTCTAGCTCCTGCAGATTCCACAGAATAATGTGGGGGGTGATGTTGCCAAAATCACTTTAACAATTTGACGGATGCATCCACACAATACACACATGGATATAAAAATAACACATACAGCCAACTCTACTTCTACCCTACCAAATCTTGAAGTTAGTCTTTACTTCTTTCCTTTTGGAACTTCGCTTCATAGTAGGCCTGTTCATGCAACACTGAGACAAGTAGCCCTAACCATGCCACAGTCAGTGGATGCCAAAGGGAACTTGGGTAGTTTGCAGGCCTTCTGTTGAGCCAGGAGTATCACATGACATGTTGGTAGAGGAGCTTTTGCACAACAGTACCCTGAAAGTGGCTGGCACACCACTTGGGTGAATGAAAGTCAGCTAGGTCAGCTTATGTTCAAAACCTCTGAAAGATAGAGACTTTAGGCTTTGAATAGCTAAGCTTTTCTTAGCCTGGAATAGTTTTACTTAGCTCCTGCTAGCTTCCCTAAGCTTTTGATAGCTCTAGTACTTTTCCTGCAACATGGAAGCGAACACTCAGGAAGCGGTACTACAAATGCTATAATGAGATACCTTGGTCTCCAAGCTATGTTAGCAACACCTTTTGGTCTCCAAGAGGCAGACCATTGCTGTAGCCGACTCGCCCTGGAGTCTTCCTCTAGATCCTTTTCTTTTTCTTATTTTCCAATGCAGAGTAGCATGCGTGTCAAGGAACGAACATATGTGCTTTGACATAAGTTGTTGGGGAATGACACGGAGTGGCAAAAGTGCCGGTCTTGGAAACTTGAAGCCAGGCCATTCCCGTGGAGACTGACGATGAGGTGAGTACTCCAGGTACCTCCGAGGCGCCTGGATTGTCGAAGAACAACGGGCGTCGGGCATCTCCAACAATTACCCAACGCCTAGATAATAACTTTTGGTACCTTGTAGTAGCGTTCCGGCTCGGACTAGTTGAGTCCCAGACTTCGATCCTTAAAGTATTTTTGGCTATGAAGCTGGTAGTCGTGATGTGTCGTGATGTTGTTTTCTGCAAGGCATGAGGAATTCCGTCAAAGGCCTCCATGCCTCAGGGAGTTGGGTGCACGGTGCGAAGCAAAGCGCAGGCTGGCACGCCGAAGCAGCCGCCACCTGCCGGGCCGGGGGGCAGCGCCAAGAGAGGTGGAGGAGGATTCTTGTTGCTTGCTAGCCGTTGTTTGTTGCGATTGAACTCCTTAGAAAGCCATCCGGATTTTTTTGTTGCAAACCCCTGAACTACAACGAAGGCGATAATGACTCAGCTTGTGACCTTGAAGGTTCTGGTTGATGAAATACCTGCGACCAATGGAAGATGGACTTATAGTATGTGTGTGTGTGTGCGCGCGCGCGTGTGCTATTGAAATTAGCGGGACTTGTGATTCATGTTGGCCTCTTGGACCTTTCCTTGCTGTGTTTGTGAGGCGTTTCACGTTTCGGTACTGAGAATCAAGATAGTCTATCACCTGACGTGGGTGGGCCAGTGTTGAAGAGCGGCTGAAGGGGGGGTTTTAGAATCCTTCAACGCCAACGTCAGCAAAACGGTTTCCTGCAGGAGATGAAAGCAGTGGCGAGTCAGAGAGCAGTGAGGCTCGCAATGGCTTGATTTCTGATTTCTATAATTCTAATGCTTGAATTTTACTGATAAATTTAATCTCTTTGATCAAAGAAGTACTCATGTTGAATTGTGCTCTGCCCAGGGATCAACATCTGAGTCCAGCGATGGGGAGGATGCGAGACAGGGAGATGCCGGAAGATGCTCGATGAGCTGTAGCTGTAGCTTGTCAGATGCTTTTTTTTTCTGGTCATTGATGCAGTTTGCTTGCCAGTATAGCTGTGGGACATGGAGACATCTCGTGAGATTTCGGCAAGGTATATAGCCCTCTTCGCCGTAGTTGATTTTGCCGAGTTGTTTAGGGCTATCTAACACGAGATTGGCGGAAAAGAGAGTGGTGTATAGCTTTTAGATGCTTTGAACGGACAGCTTAGCTTCCAGTTGGAAATCCCCTCTAACTTTGCCGACAAGAAAAAGACATGTTTTAACACATCACAGTCTTTGGCAGAATGGTATGTGTTTCTAAGGTTCGTTGTATATTTGCCCAAATAAATTCACAGATCAAGGCATCCTTGCAGTGGTTCTGTGCCCTAAACAAACCCAATGTGATGATTGGGGGGATCAACAGGGATTCCGCAGGACGGAAAGAAGTCCTCCTCCAACCTGCCAGCTGGAGCGTCTGGAGCTTAGAAAGTCAACATCTGGAGATCTGAGATTGACTATTCGCATTTGTGCAAGTCATTGGCATGTGACGCGGAGCCTAAACAGGATCTCGGACAGAAATATAATATAGAAATGTGAAGGCAAGACGAAACAAGAATGAACAATAAAATATGACAATAAAATATCAAGGGGGGTGTGGAGTGGTTGCCATTTACTGAATTAGCATCGACACTGAGTACATTGGGACACACAGCATGCATTATCTTTGCTATCTGGTCAATTGCAGTAGCTTGCAGCCCATGCAAGAAGTGTTTTTTAAATCGCTCCCACCACTTGGGCATTCACAGTTGTGGCAAGGTACAACCCGGATGACTTCAAAAATATGAAGGGAGTCTCCGCAGAGATTGAAGAGCTCTTTAACTGCATCACCAGGTCGAGCCACAGGGGACGCCATCGTCATCCATTGTCATTTATATGTTGAGATATTGTTAGGTGCAATGAGCTTGAGAATGAACTGACACAACGCACCCGTTTGCCAAGAAAAAACTGCTGCCTACTGTGCTTTGTGACACTGATTCCAGTGTCTATACACAAGAAAATTCACATCGATAAATAAAGCACGGTCAATCGCTTTCACGGTTCGAGCAAAGTCAGTATGCTACTTGTAGATAGGCTCCAGCAGCAATATAGCATGTAGTTCTAGGTCACCTTTGACAACAGCAGGTACAAGCCACATACAATCGAGCTGGACACAGTTCTGAAGCCATTCATCCCAGAGCTGATCCCCAGTATTGGCGAGGTGCCAAAGCGACGGGCAAATTGTGCAGTCCACCTTTTTCTAGCTGTGACAAAAACTATATCTCGTTGGATTTGACAGACTGGTTGTCCCAACTTTGACTCGTTGGATTTGCTTTGACAGTATCAACTCTGGCTGGTTGATGAACGTAGTCTCACCAAGTGGATCTTGTCAAGCAGCAAGGCAAGCAGAAACCACCGAAACCTTAACTAGATACTGAATGATACTGAACTCGTCGGTTAGCTTCATCATGGGCTGTGCAGAACTCAAGCGTCCTAGGTCGTGAATGCCGCATCTAGAAGTGTGGACTGCTCTGTGTGAGGTGGATGCTTTTCTCAAGATGCCGCGGCCCGACGAAGCAACCAGTGGTTTGGGCACCACACGTTTAGATGAGCCCACTCTGTGGGGATTCTCAGTTTCGAGTGCAAGCAAGGATTCACATCATTTCTTGCAGCTTGCGACAAGATATTCCACAGCTTGTTTTTGAGCCAGTGAGCATTCAGGAATCCATCTGATCCATCCATCCTGGACTTGCAACTTCGATCTCTCAGCAAGAACCAGGACCTTCAACCAATGGAGGCCTCAGCTAGAAGGGATCATTGCGATGTTGGCACATACAACTAGGCATGGGAGGGGGTTCAAAGCACACTGCACAGCAATGCGACTCTGAGCATGTTGTCATTTGCGAGGATAATATTGATCACTCGAAAGATGCAACACGAGTGTGAACACGATGTATTCCAGTTCAAAAGGTACAGAGGTTTGAGCATGAATCCGAGCGAGTGGAGTAGCACGTTCTTGTTGTTTGTTGTATCTCGTGGGTGATCAGGAATGGGAACTTTGGCAGGTCCGGTCCATTGAAAATGCCGAGAAGAATCCGAAGGAGATTGACAACTGGGTCCTAACCCCAGGGTTCACAACATCCGTGTCGTTTTGCCCAAGCCATAGATTCTCACATTGGACGGTTTCCTGCCCGGAGTTTTGAAGAAAGCCGCAGATTGAGGTCAAGCGGATTGACCACCTCAACCGATCAAAGCCTGCACCTACGGTGCAATATTCAAGGAGGCTGGACGCTTTGGTGAATGCTGCCGCTTTGGATGCATGTTTGGCGTTGCGATGCCGGCCTTGGGAAGCAGACCTTGGAACAGTAGCACCTGTGCAGACATGTGGCTCATAGCCAAGCAATTCAATGAAGAACTATGAAGAACTCGATTCCCTTGATATTGCACATGCGATTTGCGACCTGCAATTTTCTCAGTGGTCTTGCAATGCACTGCTTCGCATCAGACAATGTTCAACGTGCCTCACTCAGTTGGATTTGCTAGGATGCCAGACATCGAGCAGCTCATGCAAGTTTGGCCCGGTGAATTCGAGGAAGCAGTGCCGAGCAACGACCAAGACCAGCGATGAGCAGTTCAGTACAGAGCGGGCGCTAGATGTTATATAGAAGTCACCTCCATCTCCAGGCACCCTTCATCAAGGACATAAGCAGTTCGACCCTGGGACATTCAGACACTTGAGGATATCGAGAACCCTTGGTTCAATTATGTTCAATTCTACATTTTCTTCCCCCCCACGCCAAGCTGCCTGAACTAAATTAGGTAGAGGTCACATGTTTCGCGTGAACAGCCGGAATGCCATCGGCTCAATCATTGTGCGTTTTCAGCTGCAGGAGTTTCTCCAGAACAATCCTCTACCGGATCTTGCCGATCTAGAGTCTGAACCTTGGTGAGTTCAGACATCAGCTAACCACGTTTCCCAGGCGCATATATCAAATCCAGATCAAGCTATTGTTGTAGCTATCCACCACGTGGTTTTCTGAGCAGCATGACGATATCATGCACAACTGTCAGGAAGCCATTTGCAGACATTCGCATTACAGAGTTGCAAGGGCCAAACAATATGCATGCTTATCAACATCTTGAAATGTCCTGATGGATTGCTCAACTCATGACTCATGATTGCTTGAGGTTGGATTTGCCGAGCTATGTGAAGATTTTTGCATCCGTCCTGGATGTGCCGGTTCGGGGTCCACAGTTGGCTCTGTCGAAATGTCGCTATGCCATTCGCTAGTCGCTAGCCCCTATCCAGACGAAGGAGTGCTTCTGGGGGTACACGCAATTGGTGACTCGCTTTACGGTGAAGAATGACAAGGTCAGTCTCATTGTAAATGAGAGCTAGACGAGGTGCTCCTTGAGCTAGAGACTTGCCTGTTTGAGGTCTACAACCAGATCACGGAGACATTGCATGTCATCTTCACACTCTATTCCGAGTTTAAATCCAATCAGCACTTCTCAAAGGTGCGACGTGGCCGTTACAGCTTCTTCAGACACATTCTATCGGGGGAAGATTCGAAGATCAGATTCTTTTGTCGTGGCTATCAAGATAAGCCTAGCTTGATTGCTTTTTGCTGGATGAGTCACTGGGGCCACGGCTTTTGCTTTATCATTGCTCCTCAGAGAAGCAGCATTTTGCAACATATGTCCTTTGCCACCGATCTCACCAGTGTGACCTGATCAGCCTTTGTCATGGCTGCATCTTTTTTGGACAATTAGTTCATAGTTCCCAACTCACATCCTTCGGGAAATTGCCAGACTGACACTGCTGGCAACTTCGGCGACCAGTGCGCCAACAATAAAGACAACTGCAATTATTGCGCGCGGGTCAAGAGTGTCTGGTGTACCTTGCAAGGCCAAAAGCCAAAGGCTTTGACAATTTGTTTACAGTAACAGTAGATGATCTAACAATTTGATTGAATTGCTCCCACACATGGTTGATGCATGTTGATGCTGATTGAAACATCATATGACATGTCTTGAGGTACAACTTTGGCTCTGTGCCGGCCTCTTTTGGGCCCCGGTGCTCAGACGCATCTTTGGGATCACTCAGCTAGGGGTCACCTTCGAAGATTGTCAATTCAATCGGCACTTTGCAGTTGCGACACTTCGCGGTTCCAGTTCTCCCAAGGCAGCCGAGCGCCTCGGCGCAGCCGCCGGCCTTTGGCTCGTCATTCTGGCCATGTTCAAATGTCTGACCGTCCAAAACAGGGGTTGACGGTTTTTTTTGAGCCCGGGTGGTAGGCCGCTACAAGAGATATGATATAGTACTGTAGCTATTAGGTAGTGGACGCTACTAGGCAGAACGCAGGATAGCTCACGCTTCTTCAAGGAAGCTCCCCCCGCCTGAGGGTGGGGGGAGTTTCCTTTGCTGCACTCTTCATGTGGTTCCTAGATTTTTATGGAAACTTACTGTGTATAACAAGTTTTTGTTATTAAGCTAAAATGCAGTACCATAGATATCTACGTAATACATCGTTTTGATACTCGCAGCTTGTATCCACTCTTGGGCATGCCAGGGCAGAGTCTATGGCACCCAGCCGAGCCCCATCGCCGGTGCGGCAATAAGATGCAAGGCCGTGTAGGAAAGAATCCCATCGCCCGAAAGTGGGTTCTCAAAAGCCATTGTGCAGACAACTTGTGTCAAACGATATTAAATGGGTTTCTTCTCAAGCTGATTCATGGCTGGGACGTGCAAATGACCCTCAGAAAAGGCACGTACTACCAGACAGACAGCCAAGATGCAAGGTTGCTACATATGCTACATATTCAACCGTGCGAACAACCAATGGGCTGCAAATCCTGTCTGAGTCTACTTGTTAGAGCATATACGTTAAACATCGAAAAAACCTAGCTCCACTTATCACCGGTCAACGCCACTTGAGAGTGGTACAGTTCATTCTCACCTCTGTACAGCCCATGGAATTCATGCCGAATTTCGCACTGCACACAGCTGCGTTGAAAATGCTGGCGCGGTTGAACTGTTCATATCGTTTCGCATGACACTTGTAGCCATCACCATGATGCTACCTGTGCCAACCATGATATCCTGTGATGCTGTGGGCTTGGCAATTGCTGTTTTGTGCGAAGCCAAGCGCCATGGAGCAAGGCACCGATTTAACGGCGATCGCGAGCAGAATCATGCGTGATCGTAGAAGTATAATGCTCAAATTCAACTTCGATGCTGGAATGTATATAAAAACGATAAATTGAAGGCCATCGCTATTAGGTTCTCTTCTCAACCAGTTTTTTTTTCCGAGTGAGAGACATATTGAATGTAGACTAGTAGGTCTCTGGATCTGTGGAGCTGAAATGAACTTGAATCCTTCGTTCCTTCGGGAAGACGGCAATATGATTCACCTGCTGGTCAGGCCGCTTCCGAAGGGGCGCGAGCCCCGCGAGACTGGTTGGGTAGGGGCACCAAACTGTGGCAGCGAACCATCGTGAATGAAAGATAGCTTATTTATTGTTTCTATTTATTGTTTCTACTAGCTTCTTGCTCCTAGTAGTAAGGCCCTTGTTACTAGTAGCGAGGCACTTGTTCCTAGTAGCTTATTGCTGTTTTGCTTTAGTAATTACCCTGAAATTTGCTATCTGAAGTTTGCGCAGGCTTTCGACACTCACAGGAATAAGAGCGGCGTCTTAAGTCTGTTCGTTTGTGCAGGACTGCCCTGCTCGTACTGGCTACAGTGCTGGGCGGAAACCTCAGTTGGTTCAGCAATGCCTCACAGCTGCTACGTGGGTGGATTCCATGTCCAGCTCTTGCAAGCTTGTAGATACATGAAAACTTTAGGTACATACTGGCATAGTCTACATAGTGTGTGTATATATACATACACACTATTATACACTGAATGGATTCATAATGAAGAACAAATAGTAAATAGTCAATCATGTCAATCACAGTCAAATAGATCTACAAGAAATCTGTGGCATTCTGTGATCCGGCCCAGGAGCTTTCAGGCCCAGTTTGAGCCTCTCCGCAGCGGTGGAGACCACCCCGACGCAGGTGCACCATACAGAAAGTCTTCCACTGCTATTCCAACATCTTTTCGGCACCTGCTGACAGGCTGCTAACTGCGACTTTCTTGCACATTCAAAGATGACTCTTGACAGACAGACATTCGACAAGTACCGAACAACATCAATCCAATTGGGCCTTGATAGCAAGAATTTGCCACGTTGAACTACAGGTTGAACTACCAACCAATGAACTTAGCAGTTGAGTTGTCCGCTTGCAGCGCGGCAGGCGGCACCACCCAGTGAGGCAAGCGAGAAAGAGGCGCTGGAGACGGCCTGGAGCGAGGTGCAGAAGCTTTCAGCAGAGGCAGGGAGAACCTTTTGGACAGAACCAATCTGGACACAACGACTGCCACACCACTTCTTTCTACTACCCAAACCGGTGAACAGAAAGAGAAGAGGGATGTTCATTGTGCTGTAGCTCTGGCGCATTCTGGCGCCACGTTCCTCTCCTGGCCATTGACTTGGCCCACAGATTGACCGAGCCCCGAGGCTTCCCGCCTTTCACCCTCGGTTTCTAGCCAATCTCCCGTGCGGCCTCTCAGCCACCGCCAGCACAGCTTCCGCTGCTCCCAAAGTCGTCGGCTGCATAGCCCTCAACATCACCTCGCCTGAAAGCTTCCATGGCTTTTGTGGTCGCCCCTCTTCCTCTCCCATCCTTCTTCCCTCGTCTCGATGGGCCATAGGTCACTGGCGACCCCAGCGTCCTTCATGTCCATTCATGTCCTCCAAAGCGAGCGCCTCTGGATCCTCCTTGGCGCTCTCCATGCCGCCTGATCCTTCATGGATGCAGCCGCAGCCGCTGCCATGGTACCAGCAACCTCCCTCTCAGATCCACTCAGGAGGGTGGACTTAGAGAGTTGCGTTCAACCTGCTGTAGCTCTGGTGGCTGTTTCACTCGCATCTGTTTGATGTTCAAAGAGGGGCTATGGCATGCGGGTACACTTCCTGATTTGTGCACCTCACAGCACAATGAACCCCATGCTGGTCCAGTGCTGCTTGGTAACAGACAAGCTGGTTGGTTCAGATGATGCGACGTGTAGTGTATACCGGGTAATTACATCAATTACATTGTGATCCCAATGATTCACTCCGAACCCCTACGGCAGGAGCAAGGGCATCGCTACTAGGGGCTCCTGGCATCGCTACTAGGAGCAAAGGACGCTTCTAGGGGCTCCTGGCGTTACTACTAGGAACAAGAAGCTACTAGTAGAAACAATAAGTAGACTTTAATTAGAATTGAGTGTAATTAGACTCCAAGATTCACTCCGAACCCCTACGGCAGCCTTGCGCAGGTGGATAGGGACCGCATCGTGCCAAATTTTGGCAAGAAGGCTGCGGCACAAAAGTTTCAGAGGAAGAAGATGCTGAAACTCTTAAGTTTCCCAAAAAGTCTAGGAACCAAATGAATAGTGCGAGCGCTTCTTCAAGGAAGCTCCCCCCCCCAGGCATCTTGGCTCTCAGCTATTTGCCTCACGCCCACCCGCGAGGGCCGGGGCGCTGCTGTCCACGCCCTGCGTGGAGGTGGCGCGTCCACCGACCCTTCACCCACAGGTGGAGGGATCGCCATGGAGAAGATGGAAATGAAGAGTGGTGTTGGCCATCATGCTGTGGAAAGCTTGATCGAATGGTCTGTGATGGGCATGCCAGTGACCTTGGCGGAGACAGTGACCAGGGCACTTCATGGCATTGCGTCTTGTGGTGACTGTAGATCTGCTTCTGAAGACTGGGTTTTGTTTGGAGAAGTAATGGATGTGCACACTGGTCCGACTCTATGTGCCCATATCCGGAGGACTTCAATGTTGATGCAGCCGCTTGATGCTGAAAATGTGAAATGGCCCACTTTTGACATCCTTTGTCCGGTGAGGCATTGCAGGCTTGATCTGGCTCCTGGCATGTGGATTGGCATTCTTGCTAAACCGGGAAATCGGCTTGATGGTGATCGTATTCTAGCTGACGCTAAGGTGACAGTCTGGAATATTCCCAGCTACAATAGTAGCCTTGCTTGGCAGGTGTCACACCTATTCGCTGGTGCCTATGAAGGCTGGCTTCGGGCCATGTGGTGGCTTCAAAATGCGGGCATGGGGTTTGTATTTGCTTCACATACCTCGGTTGACTGGAGCTTAGATGTTATGCGAACGTGGAGCGTGAATCATCGCAAGGAATTTCTTCGGTGCCCTCTTGAAGTTGAATTTGATTCTAGCGATGCATGCACTGGCATACTTGCTGACATCAATGAGACTACACTGGTCAGAGCAACGTCACATAAATCCAATTTGCTCATGACGCTTTCACCTCCATGTCCAAGTTGGAGCAAAGGAGGCAAGCATTCTGGCCTCGCTTCGGATGAAGGGTTTTGCTTCCTTGATGCCATTGACCATATTTGCAAAGTTCGGCCTGTCCTTGCACTCTTTGAATGCTCTGATGGACTGGAATCTCACCCTCATTGGCGAGTGATCTCAGCAGCGATGCAACTTGCTGGCTATATGCGGATTTGGTCCCAAGATGTTGCAATTCACCAGATGACCAGCAACCAGCGTACGAGGTGGCTTGCGGTTTGGTGTCGTCAGGATGTTGGTGGGCACAAATCTGCAGAACGTCTTCAGTGTACGATTCCCCGTCGAATTCCTTGGAATGATCCGAAGCACCTCTTTGAATTGCCGAGCACCCTTGCTAACAGTTTGAAGTTGAGTCAGGATCAATTGCAAATCTATGGGGACAGGAATTTGCTTCCACCTGCCAAGAAAGTCCGAGTCATCGAAGGTGCCTCCTTGCAAGAAGTGCTACAACAACGTGTCCTTCAGGCTGGTGAATATTTACCAACTCTCTGTGCGTCTTATACAGCTCAACACTTGCTCCAAGCCGAACATGTGCAGAACAAGGGAATTTTTGCGACTCTGACCTCGGTGAATGATGAGTTTCAATTCATTGACCCCTTTGTTTTTGCTTCCCTTTTCGGGACGACTGCAACGTTGAGCTTACCAAGAGATATCCGGACTGCTTTTCATCAGCTTGGGAACGCGATCTCTCAGATTCATGCACTGGCTGCAATTCTTTTTGCTTTGGAAGGTGTTTCCGGTGAGGCCATCTCCAAGTTGGCCATACTACAACAATGTTGGGATGATCGCTTAACTGCTGAAAATGCCTTGGTCCGTGCTGTGGATGGCATGTATGTCCTACAGCCGATGGCTGATATGGTGACCAAGATTCTTCCAAGCATCAGGACGTGGCAGCCATGGCTTGCTGGGAGTGTTCTTACACGCTTCTGTGATGATTGCACTCTGATCCCGCTTGAGAAAAAGGTGGATGGCATGGTCATTAGTGATCTCTTGCATGGTCTTGAGCTTGAAAATCATCATCGAAGGCTGTTTACTCTTCTCTGGGATGGTCAGGCTCTACCGCATGATTTGAGTTGGGGGCAAATACCGGCTGGGCAGATTGCCTTGCGGTGTGGCACTTTTGAGATTGTGGCCATGCAGGTTCTCAGGATCGATGAGAACATTGGGGGTGACGATCCCATTGTATCCCCTACGCAACCATGGTGTGAGCAGGAAGATGATCCCGAATTCGACTTTCTGTTGGAAGCACATCGTAAGGGATTCTTACATGTTGCTGAATACGTTTGCCAGGATTTGCAAC